CACGTAAGTTTTTCTCCTTTCTTAGGTGTCTCTCTCATGGGTTTATCTCTTCATTTGGATAATTCCCCGTGGCTTGAAAAATATTCACTTTAATGATAACTATATATCAACTTGCAAAAAAGAAGAAACGAATCATAAACAATACGGAGTATCAACTGGAGTAGTAATAACTCCAGTTTAAAAAGAAAATTGATTTTCACAATTCACTTTTAGTTATTGACACTTTATTTTTTGTCTTTTTCTCATTTGAAATTATAAAAATACCCTTTAAAATGGACGAATATTAACTAAATGATGGATAATTTGATAATTTCATGTAGGATAAAGACAAAAAATGAAACGCCAATAACTAAATATGGAGTGCCGAAATCACTTTGTTTTAGAAAAAGCTAGGAAGTAGTTTTCTCGATGGGACAAGGAGCCAATTGACTAAAAGGCAATGCACTTATAATTGATATTTTAGTCAATTGACTAAAAGGCAGGAACTTAATTGATATTTTGGGATTTCCTGAGGACTGATGAATAACTTTTGCGAAATTATAATTATTCCCCACTTGGTCGACGTGATAGATGTACTGGTGCCAATTATCTTTTCACAAAGTTTTTTCATAACTTTGGGTGTTCGGGCCAATTTATACAAGCATCTTATTGTATTTTTAGGTAAAAAAAAATTAAAATGATAGTGGCACTTCAAAATTGATGCAGACACTCCAAAAAATAAAGAAAAGTGACTTTGAAATTACGCTAATTTTGAAGTGTCTGTATCAATTTTTGAAGTGCCAATATCATTTTCCAAAAAAAAAAAAAAAGAAAGCGTATCCAATTCTATTGTTTTTTGGTGGAGAGTTTGTTTACAGTTGGAGTAAAGTCTTGTTAATAACACCTGATGGCTGATAGGTTTGGCCTTGTTCTGCAAAAGTTCTTATTTTTTGCTCTACAAGATATGTTTCTCTCATAATACATTACGTTTAGATAACTAGTAGCAGACTAGCAGTACTTATTTTAGTTAGTGGAACACATCCAAGAGTGGCCGACACTTATAAGGGGCAAAATCATAAGGCCCCGTTCCAGAATCTTAAATAAGTACTTATTTTTAAAGAATTTAGAACTTTAAAATTAATGATCAAATAAATATTCAGCAGTTTCCAGAGCTATTTTTTCCTGACTATCTATTTTATAAATCAAAATTTACCTTTTGGATATATAGTTATTGACATTTGACCAATCTAATTTTTTATGCGGACATACAACTTTGTGAATTCTACATGATGAACAATTCAGATTACTAGAGTGAATGCTCAATAAAGCCCACAATAGGTGACGGAAACCATGGGGTTTCCACGGAAAGTATTTAATCTCTTGATATTTTCTTTACTAAGTTCAAGGCAGTCGTGTTTTTTTTTTTTTGCCATATTTTATAGTCAACGGGAGTTAGCGGGATAGTTAGATTAGCATTAGGGGAGTCCAGTAGCTTTCCATAGTTCTGGGTCCCAACTGCCCCCAAGGGGCCTCGAACCTCTACCTCCTGGATGGAGGAGAGGGTAGGTTGCCAACTGCACTAGGCAGTGGAACCTGGCAGTCGTGTTGAATGGGTCTTATATCTCTACTAACAATAACACTACTGCCGACACAGACAACATTGCACATATTTGTGCACAATTTTTGCGTGTGGCTCACTTTTGGGTTTCACACACATGATCCGATCCGTTCATTAATTTTTAAAATATCCTTTTTGAGATTCCGTAAAAAATCAGCTCAATAGCATACATGTAAGTGATTGATCCAATCTTACAACTTTTTCATTCAGAATTTTAATCCGGAATTCTAAATGAAAAGTTATAAGATTGCATCAAGCACTCACATGTATCCTATTGAGTTGATTATTTTAAAATTAATGAACGAATCAAATGATTTGTGTAGGATTCAAAATGAGCCCCACAGAGGGCCAACCGAGAGAAAAGGTAGAGCGAGAGAGAGAGTCGGGATGGGTTCCTCCCCACCCCCTCTGCCGCCCCCTTCCCCGCCTCCCCCTTCTTGCAGCCCCCTCCTCCTCCCACTTCCTTCCTTCTCACCACTTAATCCCTCATCTCCGGCCTCTCTTCTCTCCTTTTCCTTCTCCGGTTGCCCAGCTCAAGGTTTTGAGGTGGTTGAGACTTTCTCCTTTGGGAGTTAAGATTTCCCACTCTCCCCTCCATTTTTGGACTCAGGAATCAGATCTGGGGTTCTAGATCTGATTTTTCTTGGACAGCGTTCCGACGAAGAAGACGGCGTCTGCCTTCAGTCTGCGGCGGGAAGAGTTCGAGTTGGAGAGGCAGGTCATCCAGGAGAGCTTGCTCCGTGTTCATACCTGGCCTCTCCGACCCCTCCTCACGAGTGTGTTCGACGGGTCCGGCTCCGGCGTCGTGGTTCCATGCGACTTTTTTTTTGTTTTCCTTGTTTGTATTTTGGGACCGATAGTGTCCGTTTTTTTTGTACTCGATTTGTTTTCTTATCTATAATATATCAGCATTGATCTTGTTCGTCAAAAAAAAGTGAGCCCCACAAAAAATTTGCGCAAAAAATTGTCCAATATTATCTGTGTCAGTTGCAACTCTACTAATCCCAAGATAATGCGTTTTTTCTCTTCCCCTTTTGATATGACAGACATAATGAGTTTAACTAGAGAAAAAGCAAAGGGAAAATAATATTTTACCCCAAAAAAAGGGGAAAATAATACAACACGATATGAATATCAGAAAAAAACAGGCTTTTGAAAGGGACTGGTATATTTATATAATATAATATATATATAAAAAAACAAAAGATAAGGATAACATTTTCAATCCATTTACTATTAATTGTCCCTTTCTTCCTTTCTTTTTCCTGGTGTTTTGTTTCCATGCCCGTGAGCTTACAGTGCCAATGCCAACGTCAAGAAATTGTTGCACAAGTTAAATCCATAGTCAGTTTGACACTGATTGATATATATGTCCACCCCGAATAGGATCCAATCACACAATACGCGTGCGTGAGCGTGAGCACGGTGCGCGAACGTGAAAACGTCTCTCTTTGAATATGTCACGTACGTAAAATGTGTGAGGACGAGGATGATTAAGAGCATAACAGGAGAAGTAAATTGAAAGCGGGGGTTCAGATTGGAGGACTGTGTCGTTTAGCTTGACGTGCCAATTGGTTTTGAGTTGCACACTATCACTCCTCTTACCTAGGCTAGAAAATGATGAAGTTTCAAGAAAGAATTGGAAGAATTTGGAGGGGGAAAAAAAATTGAGTACAAGAAAATAGCTAAATTGTCCTTGTTTGTCATTTTCTCTCAAGAACTCTGCTTTTGAATATAATTTCCCATTGCATAAGCATTGTAGAAATATTCGGCAGTCGGTTCAATTAATTTTAACCAAAGAAGTCACCAACATGATGAATTATCTTTTCGTTTGGGCCATTGCCACGTAGACGTGCCTCAACACTATGTGGTGGCGTCCAAAAGCCACTGAATAATTACTAAAATATTTTTTCATAACTAGCTAGGTTTTGACCCGGCACACGAAAATTTAGCCTGGTTAGTATGACTAGGGGGCCTTTTTGAAAGGGAATAGAAGACCATGACTAATGGATGGAAATTTCAGACCAATAATGCAAAACCATTTCAAGGTATACTCCTATCTAATTGGGGTCTATTGCTGGGGATTAATCTACTCCTACCATTTTGTCTTAGACTTACGCAAAAATTTTGACTCCATCTCTATCTTTCACGTCAATTTTTCAAACCACTCAACCTTTTTGTATGTAATTTAAAGGTTGCGTACTTCATCTACAGTCAAAATTGAGATCCCGTTTGATGCCTTCCAAAACTTAATAATTCGAGGTTCTGTTCTTGAGAATTTTTCATAACCCTACTTTCATAACATTTTCCCCTACCATGTGTACTGTTTTTTGTTTTCATTTCTCGTTGAAGTAGATACTTCATGTATCATTAACGATAACGGGTTCTTCAATTTCTCAGTCTTCAGTCATCTTGTATTTTATTTCTCTATGTCAATCAGTAGAAAAATTACAATCAAAGAATTACAATAACCGGACACTGTATCAATCATATGAAATTCGTTGCAACAACTAAATCAAGCCCAATATATACATAATAATTCAAGCAATAGACCCATATGGGAAAAGAAGAAACTAACAACGAAACACATAGTATAAAGTAGAATTAATAATCAATTCTTGCCGTCTTGACTCTCTCAATAGTCAATAGTGATTGCACAAGGATAGCGAACTAAGCTAGCCTACTTGGCCAACGGGCTTGTCGTTCGTCCAATGGCACTTCCTCACCTCTTTCACATGGAATGTGAGGATATTATTCTCGCTAAGAGCACGAATATTTGGTGTGCTGGTTGTGGTGGTTGTTGATGCCATTTGAGCTTGCTCCACCCGTATGTCGCTTAGCGGTACCCCTTCCCCATCCCTTTAGGAGTAGACTAGACATCTATAGTATCGAGTGAAAGAAAAAAAGGTAGCCTACTTGTTTTAAGGTAGCTGCCTCAACTCACTAGTTCATCGCTCATGTAGAAAAGAGAAGCCCAAAAGGCCCAATTTAAAATTGAACTGATAGGCTGTGAGTTGTAACTGGAAGGGAAGTTAGGCCTCAAAGTTAGGGCCTTAGGAGGCAGAATTGGGTCCAAACATTGATTTGGGTTAGATGGGCTAGAATTGCATAAGCCCGTTTGAAGCTAGAGTCAGAATGGTGTGGGCCCACACCTTGGGTTAGGTCAATTTTGTCTCTACTTTACCAGCCCACACCATAAATCTTCTGTCGAGTATGGGCTTCAATCATGAAATTTGGGCTGTAATGGAACGAAAAAAAAAAGAGAAAAAAGTCAACAAAAAAAGAAGGTGAATAGAAAAACTTATAAGATGGAGATATATTTATTTATTTATATACGATATTTTCATTTATTTATATACGATGGGTTCCCGTTTGGTTTTGGTTCTCTTTGAGATGAGATATGGCCTACATAACTCAGTAGTTAGAGTACTGTTGCTTTTATATGACGGGAGTCATTGGTTCAAATCCAATAGTAGGTAGAACTTATTACATATCATTGACTCGGGTATCTAATAAGTTTTTCTATTCATCTTCTTTTTTATTGCTATTTTATCGTTCAATTAAAATCGCAATCGACTACGAAATTTCTTTCTTCTTCCTAGTCGGAATATGTTTCCCATTTGGATCATTCTTCGAAGTCGACTTCTTCTTTTTCCAAGTCCATTTCTTGTTTTTCGTGCAAGTACGTCAATTCTTCGTCTAAGTGAGTCAGTTCTGCATGTAAGTAAGTCAGTTCCCCATATTCGAATTCGAATAAGTCGCTTTGTTCGCCCAAACAAAGTCATGATATAACAAGTTCTTTTGAAGCTAGAGTCAGAATGGTGTCTGGGCCCATACCTTGGGTTAGGTCTATTGTGTCTCTACTTTACCAGCCCACACCATAAATTTTTTCTGTCGAGTATGGGCTTCAATCATGGAATTTGGGCTAGCCTCGTATATAAGTTTCCGCGGCCCTAACTTAGGACGTGGTTTGGCGAAGGCCAGAATTGAGTCCCCATGATCTTTTATTGGGGCTAAACATATTCCTAACACCATCCACATGTGCAGGGATTTTAGTTTCGGTTCAAACATAAGTGCGGTGGATTCCCTACACATAGAGGTGTGGTGTGATGAGGCAACATTCCCTATTGCAGATGACAGGGTGGATTACGTGCACTTCCACTTTGTTTAAAAAAAAGAAAAAAGCTCGGCAGCTTAAGAAAGGAGTAAAATTAAGGGTATGGATGCAACCCGAAGGTAAACATATAGCAGTCAAAGCCAGCCTTGACTTTTCGGAGGCCTAAAGCGAAAATTAAAAATAAGACCCTTTTATCGGATTATTGTAAAGGGGTAAAAAAAGAATCGGACTACTGTATGGGGTAAAAAAAAGTAGGAGGAGCCCTTCAAATTCAAAAAAAAAATTAGAGGTCTAAAACGGCTGCAACAAGCTTTAACTCAGGGTTAACTCTGATAGCCGTATATGTATCACATTTCCTCTTTAAGCGTAGTAGGAGTATCTTTTAGTAAAGCCCTTTTCTCTTATGTTGTCAACTAAAAATTACGGAAACACGAGGTATTGACTTGAAACTTGGATGGACATTGAGAGTAAGCTTGCCTATAATTGACTTGGAACTTGGAAGAATATTAACTTCTCCCACCGGTGGTGACCAAAGTTCGAGTCCTACGGCGAGCAAGTTTGGGGTTCAGGGCTATGGATAGCCTTTGAACCCCCGTTGACTAACATACTAACACTCTATTAACCCCCGCTAATTAATGTATATCGTCTGGCAAAAAAAAAAAATCTAATATTCGAAAATACACATGAACACGGCCGGGTGAGTATAGATCTGGATTCATTCAACTCTCCCTCCGTTAAAAAGCCTAACCTACACTTAGGATTGAGAACCTTGATGACGAGAGGCGAGAGCCATGTTGTGCCTCTCTACCTTTTTAAGTGTCCCCCACAAAAAACTGTCATTTTCGGATTAGAAAAATGGAGTACTTCCGTGCGTAATTTTCAAAACTTTTTGGCACCAATTCATCGAACAAATTGAGATATTTAATTTGGTATAAAGAAATTAGAAAAATTATGGACGTAAAATTTTTATTTTTTAAAAATAAAAAATGTGTGTTTTCTGTAACGAGCATCTAACACGAGGTAATATTCTTTTCTTTTTTTTTTTTTGGGGGGGAGGGGGGGTACGTCGGAATTTACAAGGTAATATTCAATGATGGGAGAGAGAGAGAGAGAGAGAGAGAGAGAGAGAGAGAGAGAGAGAGAGCCCACCGCTAAAAAGCCTAACCTAAACTTAGGATTAATTGAGAATCTTGATGACGAGAGGCAAGAGCCATGCCTCTCTACCTTTTTAAGCGTCCCCCACAAAAAAACGGTGTCATTTTCGGATTAGAAAAATGGAGTACTTTCGTGCGTAATTTTCAAAACTTTTTGGCACCAATTCATCGAACAATTGAGATATTTAATTTGGTATAAAGAAATTAGAAAAATTATGCACGTAAATTTTTTATTTTTTTAAAATAAAAAAGCACGTTTTCTGTAAAGAGCATCCAACGCGAGGTAATATTCAATGATTGGGATAAGAAGAAGAAAAAGAAGGAGAGAGAGAGAGAGAGAGAGAGAGAGAGAGAGAGAGCCCACCGTTGACTGGTATCCTCTCTTATCCAACACGAGAAAGTGAAGCTTGGAAGAGTGAACAAACACACAAACCTTAAGGGGGCCAATTATTCGAGAAAGTGAAGCTTGAAAATTCTAAATCTTACCACCTCCGCCAGCCAATTGTTGACTAGGGAGATTAGAATTATTTTAATGTACAAATATAATGTATTGGTAAGCAAAAATTTTATGACACTTACGTATACGTTTTGATAAAAATATGTCTATTAGGCTGGCTCCGTCAGGTCAAAATCCTGACGGAACTAGCCACATGAGTACTTCGGGAGAGTTAGAATAATTCTATTAAGGGACAGACTAAGTCAATGACAAATACACTCTCTCTTTCTCTTTAAAAACCACATGCAGATGCAGCCAAAGCCCACTGATTAGGTACTTCTCTCCTGTAATAAAAAGTTCAAAGCACAAACAATAGTTATTGGGCATGGGGAGAGCACCTTGTTGTGACAAAACCCAGGTGAAGAGAGGCCCATGGTCTCCTGAAGAAGACTCCACTCTCAAGAACTATATTCACACATTTGGCACTGGTGGCAATTGGATTGCTCTGCCTCACAAAGCAGGTCTCTCTCTCTCTCTCTCTCTCGATTTTCAAATGCTCACTCCATGAAAAATTTCATGCTTTTCACACAACTCTTTCTTGATCATCATGGTTTAATTTGCTTTAGCAGGACTCAAGCGCTGCGGCAAGAGTTGTCGTCTGAGATGGCTCAACTACCTTAGGCCAGACATCAAGCATGGAGGTTTCACTGAAGAGGAAGATAACATCATTTTGACTTTGTATAACACTACAGGAAGCAGGCAAGTCTAAATTACCGTTGCAATGTCTTATGTTACCGGATTTTTACAGGGTTTCATAAAATATTAGTTTAAAATTTATGATTTTTTTTTGGTATTTTTGTGCGGCCCATGGCATGCGGTGGCCTTCGGTGCGGTGACTCTAGACTTTTTGTTTTGTCACCTTCTATAAATTATATCACCACTTAAATGGAAGATCATCGTCACTGGCTTCGTACTGGCTTCGTAGTTCCACGAATTTTGTTACTCCCACAACCCAATTGGTTTGTTCACATCTTGACTCGAGCATTTTTCTAAATGTTTGTCTATTTTTAAAAGTTTTTTTTTTTTGTCACAGCGATATACATCAGCGGGATTAAGGAGTTAGTAGGTTAGTCATAAGGGGTCCAGAAGCTATCCATAACTCTGAACCCCAAACGCGCCCCTGTGAGGCTCCAACCACGACCTCCACACAGTTTTCTTTTTAGTATCTTAATATTTGAATTAAGGTACAAAAAAGTTGGAGCGTAATTAACTTTTGAAAAGTCAAACGTTTGTGAGAACAGTGGTTGGGTTTCCTTAAAAATTATATTCCCCCAATCGTTATTCGTTAATGCAATGCTTAAAAAACAACGATATAAATTTTTTTGATCGTAAAAAAAAAAGACGACGATATACTCACCCCGTCCCAATTCTTTAATCCATTTTGGGAGTCTGTGCCAATTTTCAATTGATTATATCTTGTAATCTTTAATCTTTTACGTAATTTTGAAAATATCGTTTAAAAGAGCCAATTGAGATCAAACAAGATTCATATTGCGTATAATTAAATAGTATTACCAATTAAAAGTTATAATTAGTCTTTTATCCGGTTAGGATAGGACGAGTGACAAAAGAACGAGGACGGAGGGAGTTTTTTATTTTGATCCGCGACGGAGGGAGTGATTACAACTATCTTTCATATTCTCCTTGGGTGAAGCTTTCTATTCTATGGCGAATTTTTTTTTTTTGACCGGAAACTCTTCTCTCTCTCTCTCTCTCTTTTTTGTTGGCTTATCTAGGTGGTCGGTCATAGCTTCTTACTTGCCGGGAAGAACAGACAACGATGTGAAGAACTACTGGAAAAGCAAGCTGAAGAAGAAGCTACTGGCACTAAACACTAGCCAAGCCATAAATTTCGGCTCAACCGCGCCCGTATCGCCATTTGTGCCTGAACTCGACAATTACCATCACTATTATGGTAATAATTCAGATATTGTTTCCAACACGAATTATTATCAGCAAAACCTAGTCCTTCCACAGGAGCTGCTGGTTTTGAACCCGGCTCAAGCCTCCAGTCTTCCAAGCCTCATGGAAGTTTCAGATCAAGTTGCAGGCCCATGCGAAGATCAAGCTTCGAGCTTTTCGGCTTTCGGAGATGAATATCGGGTTTGGTCTGGTAATGGAGGAGTTGAAGATGATGGGTTCTTAACAGGTTTGATGGGGTCTGGCTTTTCATGCACTAATCATCTTCTTAATGGCATTGATTTTCAGGAGAAAATTACCAGTGGGGTTTATCCAAATTTAGCTAACACCCTGATCTAATCTATTGCTTTGGCCCCCTAATTAAGTTGTATTTAGTTCTGACCCTATGATACAAATTGATGGCAGAAGTATAAAAATTACTAATAAATTAAGATCGATTAATAAGGATAGGTGTGTATGTTTGTTTGTTTAGTACGTAGTTTAATTAAGGTTATTGTGGTTTGAGATGAACATGTTGAATCCTGTATTTATGATCGATGAATTTGATATTAATTATTAGCTTAAAGTCTATCTTGGATATTAATGTTTGTGTACTTTCTTTTCCTTCTTCTCTTTCGTTTAAGCTTGTTCGTAAAATTTACTTTGTTTGGTTCTCCACTCAGAAATATTTTCTCCAAAATTTTTGACTGTTTCGTTGTTTGAGGTTTTTTTTTTTTTTTTTTGTCTTTAGTGATTTTTTATCAAAAAATAAAAGAGTTTGTTAAAATATTTAAAAAATTGACTACAGATGAA